GGGGGGGGTGGAGGAATTGGTTGGATTCTTTTTGAATCCCAAAGATACATAAACACAAGTGGGTGAAACAACGTAATTGAGCATTTAAGATAGAACATAATGAAAAATCCATACTAATTAAGCTAATGAATATAATTGTTTCTCCAAGATTCGTTGAAGTCATGATTAGACATAATAATAAACAAACATTCAGGCCATACTTTGGAATGAACATAATAATGTTAGATCATCAATATTGTTAGTGTTAGACTTATGTCAAACATGAATATACCCAACAGGCAACAGTAAACAACCATTTGTAAAGATCTTTGTGACCCGAGCGAGCCCAAAACTAGCTGACTTGTCTCACTCTGTCTTGCATTTGACACAGGTTGCATTGAATATTCACACCTTCATATCTGGTTTGGAGTGTACCAATTCAAGTGTTCGTTCAAAGGACTATTAAGGTTCAAAAGACTAATAAAAGTCAATTTCCTACCACAAATTTGACACTCGAAACCAGCTTATAAGTGTAATTTTTTCCTAAACAAAGCTTAACTTAATTTTTTTTTTTGACAAGCTTCACTTAATGTATGAATCTTTACAAAATGAAATAAAAGAAAAATATCTAGAGAACGACCGTAGAATTAAAAGAGTAGGTTATATTGGTGGGGAAAATTTAATGGTAGAATTAATAATTTAGTTATTTATTCGTTATAGTGATCGTTTTGGTCAGGTGGGTCACATAATGCAATGCATGGGATTAATTGACAATAATTGTGTCTTCTTCTTCTAGAGATGCTCACTCATTTCTCTACATATAGGGCTATAGGGAGCTCACTATCTATCCACAAAACAGAATCATCCCAAACAAACATCTAGTATCTTCAATAAAATCAAATCAGCCGTAGAAAAATGGCAGATACTATGGCACCGATGGGAGATGAGGTGAAGAAAACTGAGACGCCTAGTTTGGTCGGGACGCTTGAGACAGACGTGGAGATCAAAGCTTCGGCTGGACAATTCCATCACATGTTCGCAGGGAGACCACACCATGTCTCCAAAGCATCTCCAGGAAACATTCAAGGCTGTGATCTTCATGAAGGTGACTGGGGCAAAGTCGGCTCTATCGTCTATTGGAACTACGTTCATGGCAAGTCAATGCTTTTAAAACTTTTGTCATGTATTTGTATACTTTTATCTCTTAGATCCGTGTGTGCATATGTAGAGACTCAAAACTAAACTTGGTGCAGATGGGGAGGCAAAAGTGGCAAAGGAGAGGATCGAGGCGGTGGAGCCGGACAAGAACCTGATTACGTTCAGGGTCATAGATGGTGATCTGATGAAAGAGTACAAAAGCTTCTTGCTCACGATCCAGGTGACCCCAAAGCAAGGAGGGCCAGGGAGTATTGTGCACTGGCACCTTGAGTATGAGAAAATTAGCAACGAGGTAGCTCATCCAGAAACTCTCCTCCAGTTCTGTGTCGAAGTCTCCAAAGAGATCGACGAACATCTCTTAGCCGATGAAGAAGAGGTGAAGCAAACAGAGGCTTCTAGTTTGGTGGGGAAGCTTGAGACAGACGTGGAGATCAAAGCGTCGGCGGAGAAGTTCCATCACATGTTCACTGGGAAACCACATCATGTCTCCAAAGCATCTCCAGGTAACATTCAAGCCTGTGACCTGCATGAAGGCGATTGGGGCACAGTAGGCTCTATCATCTTATGGAATTACGTTCATGGTAAGTTAATATTATATAAACTTTTTCATAGATTTGTAGTCTTAATCATCTCCTTCATTCACCATGTAACTTTGACGAGAAGGCAGCACATTGATTAGGTTGAGGGTGAACCATTATAATCGTTCGAGCATATATTTTTTAGGTAAAATCGTTTTATAAAGAACATAATCAAAATCCAAATCTTAAAAATCCAGCAGAAATTAAAAGTTTTTAGGAGTGCGACCATTTTGAAAACTTTTGAGTGACCAAAAGGAGATGAGTCGATTAGGTGACCTAATTTACATCTGATATTAGGTTTCGATTAACAAATGAAAACCACTTTATTCATTAAAAAATATGTATGTTTTAGTCTAAAAGTTAAAATATCATTAATATTAAAAATTGTTATAGATGGGGAGCCAAAGGTAGCAAAGGAGAGGATCGAGGCGGTGGAGCCAGAAAAAAACTTGATCACTTTTAGAGTTATAGAAGGTGATCTGATGAAAGAATACAAAAGCTTCTTGCTCACCATCCAGGTGACCCCAAAGCAAGGAGGGCCAGGGAGTATTGTGCACTGGCACCTTGAGTATGAGAAAATTAGCAACGAGGTTGCCCATCCTGAAACTCTCCTCCAGTTCTGTGTCGAAGTCTCCAAAGAGATCGACGAACATCTCTTGTCCGAGGAATAGAGGAGAGTACTCCTCCATATATGTGTGCCGCCTTAAGTTCATTATATGAACGATAATGCAATAAATAAGGACTAAGGTGCTATGTCCGAGTTTGTGAGATATGTAAGTGTGAGAGTGCATGAATGTAATCCTTTTACGTTGGAAATTGTAACGTCAAGAAGCGACGTCTAGTAGCTAAGATCGATGAGGCTGCTATAGTCCATAAAATATATAAGTATGCATGTTATGTTTGCTAATGATATATGTTTGGATTAACGAAGCCCTATATTTATGCTTTCATCACCCCTCTGCAAAAAGATATATAAAGATGATAAACAAAAGATAGTGATGTCGGGGGACATGGCGTCCCAATTACTTCCACTGACATATAAGTATGGTCCAGTACCAAAGATATGCACATGTTAATTACACAATCATTTTATAAGAATTTGTGCGGGCTACGTTACGTTAACGTCGATAATCGAAGGAAATGGTTTGATATTTTTCTTTTGGTTGCTAGGCAACTTTATTCCCAAAAGAAAAAACCAAATGTTTCCTACACTAGCCTTTAAAGTTTAAATTAAGTAGACACAAGATTGGGAGAGCAATCAACACCAAAAAAAAAATTAAAAAAATTTGGGTGATCGAAACTGAGCATTTAAGATATATTATAATGAGTGGATTGCGATGAGTGCTTTCATATTTCAATGGGACTTACTGTGAAAAAACAAGGGAGACTTTGCAAATTAGTACATTTTCCGAACTTAGTTCGGGATATAGTCACTTTACTATTTACACTTTACTATTTACAATTAGTAAAACCCACATATTTTACTGTGTATGTAATAGAAGCTCTTCTCTAATAAATTTTTTGCAATTACCAAACTGTCCTATACTCATATCTTTCTCTTTCCCTCGTAAACAAAAGACAAATGCCCTCCATATTCTCTTTCTCTCTCCATCTCATATATATATATATATATATATATATATATATATATATATATTATATTTTTTTATTTCTTACATTCTCCTACTAATTTAATAACTAAAATATTAGTTATATGAATTTGTTTTTTTAAAAAACTTTAGAAACATAAAAATCATCTTCTTTTTTCTCTACAATTTGATATGCATATTGTTTAATATTTTCAAATATATTTCATTCAAATTATGATTCGTACATTTGTCTATCTGTACAGAAAGACGTATATGTACAGAAATAATCATGTACAATATTTTATATCCGTACAATTGTATTTGTACATACATTATTCTGTACGATTGTATATCTTTGTACATATATTTTAACTGTACAGTGTTTATATATGTACAATTATATATATGTACAAGTATATATATACAATTATATATGTACATATATTTTTCTGTACATATATATATATATATATATTATTCATATAAATTATATAATATACAGTAAATATGAGTGTAAAAATAAAAATTGTGTATATATATAAATTTACTGTATTAGAAAATCAGAAAAAAATATATTAATTAATAGTTTATTTATTAGATTATAAAAAGAGAGAAAAAAAGAAAATACACAAAAATATATATAAAAGTAAGTTTAATGGCAATTAGTGTAAATATGAGAGAGATGAGAGGGTTATAAAGTCTTCAAAATAGTGGAAAATAGGGAAAGGTGACTAATTTGCCAATTATAAATAGTAATTGTACTATATTACTAATTAAGTTTGAAAAATGTACTAAAATCCCAATTATTCCAAAAAACAATCCCCTTCCAACCTTCTAGTTTGATCAAAAAGATTAAGAGCTTGAAACAAACTACAGAGTGTATAATGACACCCCCTAGGCTTCTTATAAGTGGTGTTCTGGCTGATGATACCCACTCGTTCAAATGATTGAAAACTTAATATGAGGCACCAGTCGAATGGATATAAAGTTTCTATCCCATGACCTCCAACGAAGTGGTTGGTAAAGAAAACACTAGATCTATGACCTGTATAAAGTATTCGATCGTTTCAATCATCCAAAAGTTGATTGCATGGTTATAGTGAATATTGATTGTTCAATCATGTAAAATAGTAATGATTCATAAATGATTGAAGAGTAGTTGTTGAAGATAGCATAAAGTATACAAGATAAGAGCATAATTAGCGGAAGACCAAGTCTAAGATACTAATACGTAAGGAGAGGTTACTCAAAATTGGCTGAAGCCAGGGAGGTAATTTTGTTTGGAAGTTAAGGGGGCTAAAAGATATTTCAAAGATTCACAAGTGTACTCTCTCCAATCAAAATTTGTACAGCTTTTAATTATGTCATAGTGTCTGACAGGTTACATCATGGTCACAACCACCCTGAAACACAAGATTCATGAACAACTTGCTATATACAAAGTTCTAGAAGACTATAGTACCGGAGATTTTTGCACATACTTGCCCGATTCATTTTCTAAATAACAATTTTGTGGAAGAAAGTTATAGGCCACCACCAGACATTATAATGGCAAGGACAAAACGTGATGATCGTTCGCAAACGTTACCACGTCGTTCTGCTTTCAGTGCAGTTGTACAACAAATGTTATAAGTTTTATTTACATAGTTCGCATTTAATTTTAAGAAACAATACGTAGTGGTTTAGTTACAAATATTGCATTTTAACTAAATGGCCTTCAAGATTGACGTCCGATGTAATCGTCGAAGTCACTTACATCTAAGAATCTAGCCATCCCACTAGCTTCAAGAAACCTGATCAACCAAAACCACAAATTATAAATTCACTTTTCGACAAAAACCACAAATTGTAGATTCACTTCTCAACCAAAACCATATCTTTCAGATTCTGATAATGTCTTTTAAAGAAGAAAGAAACGTTACTGGTCTCTGAAGACTCTTGTCATGGAGAGACATCCACCAGGAAGCATTGATTGCATATTAACAGCAATGTTTGGGTTATGAATACTCTGCCTCATATGCACCCAACCATATTCTTCCCCATTATCTTCATCACTAACTCTTGCCCTGAAACCTCTCAATTATTATTTCGAATTTAAGCATTTACCATCATATTATATAATAAAACACGCTATCAACACATTAAATACCTATACATGTGAGCATCAATTGCAGATGGATGGTCATTTGAGTCCACCAAGCAACCTTCACTCACCCAACAATCCCCACACGAGTCCAGTTCCCACCCTTTAAGTTTTCCTTCCTAATAACCATTTTATTTGCCCTACATGTTATAGTTCTGAAGTCTACCGCTACATTCATAACCAAAAGATATAGTTATAATACCTCGATGTATTGCCTAAAAGTCTCAATGGCTTCAATGCCTTTTGCCTTGGCATCTCTTGGCTCTGACAATATATTTAACCGCAACTCAGCTGCTTCTAACGGCTCTTCAAGATCTTCGATTAGACTACCGATACCTTCATTCGATCCCGCAAGTCTCATTCTCACCATTTCAATAATGATCTTTACCACCATGTATGCACCTACAATGTGTCCCAGTGGATGAAGATCATGATGAACAATATTATCACTCATGAACCAATTAATATGAACAAAAGAGTAGTAAACTAACCATCGTCCAAGAAGTGATTCTCCTTAACAGCACCATGTCCTGAAGTTTCCATCATGAGATGAGTCTCAATGCCATCTCTGTTCAGCTCTACTCCCTTGTCAATCACGTTTCTATACCCTACTCTGTACAAACAGTGCCTCCCTCCTCGCTCAGTTATAAACTTAGTTAGCCCCATACTCGTTCTTGCGTCTGTTACTACTGTACTTCCTATAACCATACTTAAATACTATATTATAAGTCATATTAATTAATCAAATCAAAGATAAGGATTAACAAATATCATTAGTTTAACCCACCTGGATGTTCTTTAAGCACAATAGATGACATAAGCGCAATGAGTTTGTCTCCATTTATAGGATTCCCTTTGTTATCCACCACTCCACTCCTATCAACATCCGTGTCAAACACAACCCCGAGATCCGCTGAGTTCTCAAGAACCGCGGCTCGGGTGTGTGACATTGCGACTTTGTTTTCCGGATTAGGAATGTGATTTGGGAACATCCCGTCCGGATTTAGATAGAGCGAACCAAATGTATCTGCTCCTAACTTGTCTAGAACGTCCCAAGTGAAGAACCCTCCTGACCCATTACCCGCATTCACAACTATCTAACAGACAAAACAAAACAAAAAACATCACAACTTGTCCAAACTTTTTTGAGACAAGAGAGCAGAAAGCTAGGCTCTTGCCTGAAATCCTTTGAGAGGAGTGTCGTAGTGTTCAGGGTGATTGATTCTCTCTTTAATGATTTCTCGAAGATGCTTAGAGTAAGCACTCATGAAATCAACTTGCTTCGGTCGAGTTCTGATCAGTGTAGAGACTTTAGTCTGCCTAGTAGCGTACTTTCGCGCAGCTAAATCGCATATCTTCTCCACTTCAGGAGACGTTAAGCCTCCTCTCTTGGTAAAGAACTTGAGTCCATTTCTTGTATATGGTAAATGAGAAGCCGTCATCTCCAAAACCACAACGACCAAACATGTTAGGAAACAAAGAGCCCTTTAAGTTCAAAAACAAATCCTAAAAACTTGACCAAACATGTTAGGAAACAAAGAGATTCAAAAACAAATACTAAAAACTTGACCAAACCAAGAGCTCCTTAAGTTGGAGACTCAATACCATAATTGAAGCGTCGTATTCGAATGGAGACAGTAACGTGCTCATGAAGCAAGCTGGAGTAGTGGCTAAACCCATGTCAAAAGCTAAACACCCTGCACGACCTAACCCGGCGAAAATGGCTGTACTTAACTTTCCACCGGAAACACGTGGATCCCGTCCTAGAGAAACCTTAATGACACCGTTACCGTTACCCTCATTTGCCGCAACCCATTCTCCAAAGCTCTCTGCTATTGCTTCTACGGCTGCAGGGGTTAGGTCAACCGTTCTGCCTTTCTCTCCTTCCAATGCGACTCCTCTCACATCAGAACCGTTTTGCAACCGTCGAATCTGGTCCATATCTTCGTCTAGACTGCTGGTTACCTCATCCAACTTCGTGGCATTTGAAGATCTTGTCCTAAGCGGCTTAACGGAAGGAGAAGCTGGCGTGAATGATAAGAAACTCCTATTGACTATCCCCGGTGAGGAGAAAAACAGAGCTGTTCTGGAGATTACAGTTCTAGAAGCCATTAAAGACGACGTTGAAGTAGACGCCATAGCTTTTGGTAAGTGAATTCAAAACAGAGTTCTCAAAGTTTCTGACTTGAAAGCAGAGATCCAAAGAGAAAATAAACAAATTCAAGTACAAACCTTTAGATATTTGCAATCTTGTTTGTATCCGTAAATTTTTAATTTTTTCCTTAAGAAGTGTTTTTTCAAATTTGGGGTTTGGAGATGGATAAGATTCGTAACAAGATGTAACCATAACCTTACGTTTGAATATCTCTGCAAATTCACATGTTTAACAAACACACCAAAGGAAAATAAATATATATATATAAACATAAATATCCGCAAACAAACTTCCAATTTCATTAGATTTTTTCTTTGTTTTTTTCTTCATCTTTAGACAATCACAGCATATTCTATTTTATGTGCTGAGGAAGAAAACTCGCGGGAAATCAAATATATCATTTACAAAGCAGAGTACTACTCTGTTATGCTTATTGTAACTTTGTCTGAAAGCCAAGACCGATTGAGACTTTTATCTAAATTTGTTTATTGTCTTGGAACTTAGCTTTTATTACAAACACATACATAAACACACAGAACCATCAAGATAATCTCTGTTTCAGAGTCCCTTACTACCTGGAATCTGAATCCATTCAAGCTGAATCTCTACCTCGCCGCATTCGACATTCCTCAACAGAAGAATCATGTCTTGAACGATCTTGCCATTGTTGGAGACTATACTGCTCGCTTCAGACAAGCAGTTGTCTCTAGTGGGAACAACTCTCTTGATCTCTGTTCCATCTGGTAATTCTTGCAAACCCATTTTGTGAACCTCTAGAAATGGTTTGATGTCTATCTTCGCATCTCCCATCTTGTCGTGCGATGTGAATGTATCTTTATCATACACTGTCTGTTTTAAAAAACTGATTACTAACTTATTGTCAATTGTTTTTGAGTTTGAGATGACATATAGTACTATAGTAGTACTCACCAGATTCACAGGTTCATCGGGATTTTTTATCGCAAGGGTCAATTCCTCGTTCCACTCAGGGTTACAGTTGTTTTCTACAGTACGCGACTTCAGCTTCTGGTGCAATTCAAAAAACTCATTTAGAGAGAACATGCAAGACATGGGTAAATTTGCTTTATAGTACGTTTTCAAAAGATAATATGTAGAATCATACGTTTACTATTTAAAATTTGCAAAATAGGTAGTGTGTAATAGAGGTTGTGTGTAATAGAATATATTGTGGAGTAAGGGGTTGTTGGGTAAAAAGACTAAAATAGGGCAAATAAATCATTTGTGGGATGAAGAATTTGTGTTTAGCGGGGAGAGAGAGAGGGGAGAATTTTTTTTTTTTAATTTTTTTTTTTCTTTTTATTACACCCTTCCAATCTAATAACTAAAATATTCATTAATATATTTTTTTTTGATATTTTTCACAAACAAAAAAAAAAATCTATGTTTTTTTCTAGGCCTGGGCGTTCGGATATCGGATCGGGTTCGGTTCGGATTTTTCGGTTTTCGGATTTTTTGGATATTGATTCTAACATCCATTCGGATATTTATAAAATTCGGTTCGGTTTCGGTTTGAATATTTCGGATTTCGGTTCGGTTTGGATATAATTGTGATAATTAAATTTTAACCAAAATTTATTGGATTCGGTTTTATTCGGATATTTTTAAATCCAATTATACTCAAATAATCCATACTATCCAAGTATATAAAAAAATAGAAATGAGGCAAATGACAAGTTCAAAGAACCAACTAACATAATACCATACCAATATATAAAATCGAAGCATAAAACTGTGTCGATGCATAAAATCTTTAAATAAACCAAACTAAACCATAAATTCCTAATGAAAAAGTAGCAAAATTCAGTGACATCCTAAATCAATTAAAAATAATTTTTAATCCGATATGCGGCAAACGTATATATCCTAAAGATATTAAAGTATATATTGTATATATCCTAGATATATTAAAGTATATATTATAAGTTCGGTTATATATGGATATCTATTGGATATCGGTTTGGATCGGGTTTAATCCGATATCCAAAAATAATGAAAGCTAACAACCGATCGGTTATTTTTCCAATATCGGTTCGGTTTTAATCCAATTTTTTCGGTTCGGTTCGGTTCGGGTTTTCGGATTCGGATTTTATGCCCAGGCCTATTTTTTTCTCTACAATTTGATATGCATTTTGTTAAATGATTTTTAATTTTATATAATAGTCAATATATATACAGTTATATATATGTACACATATCTTGTATATAGTTGTTATACATACATTTTTTGTACATATAATAAGTGTACAGTTTGATCTGTACAATTGTATTTGTACATATATCATATTATACAAATACGTGTATAATGCAATATAATAGTTAATATATATACAATTATATATGTACATATATTCTTGTATACATTTGTTATACATACATTTTTCTGTACATATAATAAGTGTACAATTTGATCTGTACATATATCATGTTGTACAAATACGTGTACAATGCAATATAATAGTCAATATATATACAATTATATATGTACATATATTCTTGTATACAATTGTTTTACATACATTTTTCTATACATATAATAAGTGTACAGTTTGATATGTACAATTTTATTTGTACATATATTATATTGTACAAATACGTGTACAACTGTTTACTACTCGTACACTAATATCTGTACACTTATTAAGTTATACAGATGTACATATGTACACGTTTTAAGTTGTACGGATTACATCTGTACACTTAGTAAGTTATACAGATCTAAAATTTATAAAAGTTATTTGTTATTATTAAATAAAATCACCAAACAAAATGCATATCATATAAATGAGAAAAAAACATAGATTTTTATATATCTGAAATTTTTAAAAATACAAATTTTTATTGACTAGTATTTTTGTTTTTAGATTGAAGGGAGAATGAAATAAAAAAGAAAAAAATAAAAAAGAATAAAAATAATTAAAAGAGGAAGTTGATATCTTCGGTTTGGAGTGATAAATGTTCAATGGCATTACTAGTAAATAGATGGATATGATAATGGCAAAACAGGGCTGTGTGCAAAAGTGAACAGTGGTTTGTGTGTATTTTGCAAATTATAAATATGAAACGTATGAAACCGCATATAAAGTTCTGAAAACGTATTAAAGAGCCAATTATTCCTATCTAATAAACATACTTAGATCAATTTTCTTGAAGTCGTTTAATCTATCAAAATCAGATTACTGGCTGAAACTATCTATTGTTTCATTGCAGCATGAAATTAGTATTTTCTTGTTTTGTCTTTAACCTTGAAACTAAAATCTATTATGCTTTTTTAAGGTTGATTCTTTAGATAAACAAGAGAGATTTTTATCTCAAGAACAGAGACAGAAACATGAAACAAATCTAAATCAAGAAACCTAGAAGACCAAATCAGATTATAAATGAAAGAGACAATAAAAAGAAAAAAGGACCTGTGAACCCATGGTTATGTGGACAAAAGGGTCGCTGCTTAAAGAGTCACGAAGAGCAAGATTGATCCCTCTCTTAACTCGGATTCTTAGAAGCCCTACAAGGTCCTCCATCTCTCAACCTCTTCCTCTGTTTTCTCTCTATGTTATTTCTTCTGAATTTTGATCGATGTCTCTCTCAATAAGGCTCTGAGTATTCTACTTTTTCTTATTCCTTCAGAAAATATTATCGGCTCAAATTCAACGAGTCCACTTAAAAATTGGCTTATCAATGGACGAAAGAGCGAGTTAAAAAATCAAGAATAAAGACCAATCTAATATAGTACTATTAAAGGTTTCTTTTGCCAGGTGTTGGTTTCCTTATTATTCTCATCTAAGCGTTACTCTCACGAACATCTTTGGTAATAATATCCTCTAGATTCTTCTTTTTGGCAATTGAGAAAACTATAAGTCAACTCGCGGGAAAGAATAAAAACGGTTTTGGTTAGATCTAAAACCAAAATATTTCAATTACAAAGCAGAGTAAGTTAAGTACTCTGTTTCTACTTATTGTTACTTTGTCTGAAACCCAAAACAAAACAAAACAAACTGAGGTTTCTTTTTATTTATTTTTACAGAGAAAGTGAGAGAAATCATAAAGAGACTTCATCTCTGTTCAGAGTCCACAACCACCTGGATTTTTAATCCACTCAAGCTGAATCTCGACTTTGCCACATTCGACGTTCCTCAACACAAGAACCATGTTCTGCACAATCTTGCCGTTATCTGAGACGATCCTGCTCTCTTCAGACAAGCAGTTGTCTCTGGTGGGATGAATCTTCTTGAGCTCTTTACCATCTGGAAGTTCTTGCAAACCAAGTTTGTGAACCTCTAGGAACGGTTTGATATCTATCTGCGCATCTCCCATCTTGTCGTCGGATGTAAATGTATCTTTATCATACACCATCTTACTCAATTTGAAAACAAAAAATGACTGTTAGAATTTCACACCATCGGACACAGAGATGATGAATCAAACACAGTATATGCAGGACATCGATCAAACCACTTATTGCCAATTGGTTTCGAGTAGTACTCACCATATTTACAGGCTCGTTGGGATTTTCAATCGCAAGGGTCAGTTCCTCGTTCCACTCTGGGTTGCAGTTGTTTTTCACAGTAAAAGACTTGAGCTTCTGGATCAATTCAAAGATCTTTGGATCAAATACCATTTATATCTCTTTCACTCTATTCAAAACCTAAAAATCAGATACTAAAAGCTAAATCTTGTTTGCGTTTAGCTAGGTCTTTTTTTATCTTTCATATATGAAGAGAGTAAACAGAGAGATTATATATATCTCAAGAACAAAGAGAGAAACATAAAACAAATCAAAATCAGGAATCCTAGGAAACCAAATCAGATTAGAATCAGAGAGAGATAGAGAGACGAAAGACCTGTGGACCCATGGTTATGATGACAAAAGGGTCGCTGCTTAAAGCGTCTCGGCGAGCAAGATTGATCCCTCTCTTCACTCGGATTCTCACAAGCCCTACAAGTTCCTTCATCTCAACCACTTCTTCTTCTGGTTTCTCCATTTCTCTACTCAATTTTGAAGAGAAAAGCACACCTGTCTCTTCTACTTTTCTTATTCACTTATAAACAATCACCGGCTCAAAAATTCAACGAGGCCACTTAAATTGGCTTATAAAAAGACACACAAAGAAGGAAGAAGAAAGATCAACTAATTCAAAAAAGTCTCTTTTCCAGCATACTCACTTTAATTATCATCTACGCGTCACTCACACCAACATCTTCCAGACTCTATTGATATGAAAATATCTTCTGAATTCTCTTTTTCTGACAGTGACATTATCACCATTACATTTCACACACGCACAAAACAAAAAAGCAATACCCTGCAAATATATTATTGAGTACATACTACAAATATATTTGGTGTAATTGTGTACTAATTCTAATGTTACCAGAACAAAAGAAATAAACTCGAAGAGTTTCTAGAAATTCAGGGTTTGCTTTATTTCTTCATTAGTAGAAATAGATACAATATATAGAAGGGTTGAGTTATTCGACATGTACAGCTAAAGACCAAAGCAGAGCCTTTTTTTGCAATTTCAAATCTGATGAGACAAAGACAAACTCGTCTTTCCATGAAAAGAATAAAAAAGTACCATCATGTCTTCACGGTCTCTGTTTTAACATTTCTGCAATCTTAGTCCAATCGTTTTGTTGGCATCCATGGTGTCTTCTTGGATCCTGAGAGAACCAGTGCTCGCATTTACATAATAAAGAGCAAAAAAATAGGTATGCACAAGCTGAATAACTGAGGAAGTGTTAACATACCTTCGCGTCCCAGACCCTTGCATCCTGGACCGTCAGTCCACTCGAGCATAATCTCTACTTCTCCACACTCCACATTCTTTAGTCTAAGAATCATCTCTTGTGTGATTTTCGCATTGTTCCAAGTGATGCTGCTCTCTTCAGCCAAACAGTTGGTCCTGCCTGGACGGATCCTCTTGATAGCACAACCATTAGGGAGCTTCTGGAAATCTAACTCCATCTGATGAGCTTCGAGAAACGGCCTAAAGTCTATTTCTGCATCACCCATTTTGTCATCTCCCGAGAATCTGTCTTTATCAAACACCGTCTGCATAGACAGGGCATAATATGAGCCAAATGGCATGGAACATTTCTTTTAAGGGAAAGATGTACTGAAAGCAATGTATTAACAACGTAAAGCTAATAGCTTTGGCATGAAATGGAGTCCATCCCCTTGAAAAAAGTTTGCAGGTAAATTAAACTGTCGTGTAAAATGGTATGTGAATAAAAGAGCCAGTAATTGGTTTCTTGAGGAGACCATTTTGATAGACACGAAAGCTTACCAGACGGATTGGATCATTCACATCTTTGATGGAAAGGGTCAGTTGTTCGTTCCACACTGGATTACAGTTATTATTAATCACACGCGTCTTCAGTTTCTGAAGGAACGAGATAAAAACGGGTCAAGAAGATATGAAAAACAAAGACAAAAACATAAGGTTGCATAGTACAAATAATGATAAAGAGGGATTCAGAAAGTAACAAACATAGAGACACAATCATCTAGACCAAGTCAATCATGTCCCTTTATAACTTTCATCAAACTCAACTAACATTTTACTATTTGCTACCATTAATTTCCTACTCGTGATCTTGAGAGAAAGTTTTGAAAGCTTGACCCTTCAGCAAGATTATGTAATTACATATATAATTTGCTAGCTTTGGGAGATGACCCTTCAACAAGATTAAACACTGAGATTAGGCATCTGCCATTTGCATTGCATGAAAACTAATGACCCTTCACCAAGATGATACATTTGGACTAGACAACTACACATGTATGATGTATCAATCACAATAGAGATCAAATACCCCCTCAGCTTTACGACATTGGCCCTTCAACAAGACTAATGCCCTCAGTGCTCATCAGAATTTGAAAATTTCAGAACATGACAATATAACGCATAGGATGTTTAGGAAACTTTTTGTAATTTAGCAAAGAAGACACAAAGCGAAGATCAAATTGAGATCTTTTCTCACATGGTGGCCACCAAAAACCATCACATGTGTGATTTGTACCTCTTCCATGTGACTATAATAAGTCCTATAATCTACAAACTCGATTAGAAAACTCAAAAAAGGACACACCTTTCTCACATTACATTTCACAATACATAATCTGATCAAAAGGGCATGTATAAACAAACCTGATTAGCCAATGTGATAACAACATAAGGATCACTGGTGGTGGCATCACGAATGGCAAGATTAATCCCTCTTTTCACATGAACCCTCAGAATCCCTAATGGTTTATCCTCCATAGCTGCTGCGAATTCCACCGGGAGAAAGAAAAAAGGAAGAGACTTTATGAATAAATAAAATGGAAAAAAAAGTTTAAAACTTTTGCCAATAAGCAGATGATACCCTAATAAAGAGATAATAATAATATCGAAGAACACAAATCCCCTGTTTGAAACCCTTTTTGTTTTGCCTGAATTTACCCAAAATAAGCGGGGGTTTGATGAAATTTATACTCTGAAAACGATTTGGATTATGCAGAACATACGAGAGAAACGTCGACGCTGAATCGACGCGGAGTTCCAAAAACAACAAACATCGACAACAGATCTATCCGTTGTTTACGGACGACCGATCTCATCGCTGCTCCTTTACTTTCTTTAGCGTTTTCATTAATGTCTGTTTCATTCATCGTATACTCTCAATTCTCTTTTCTTTTTCTTTCTTTTTTTTTTACTTTTCTAGTCCCTATACTTTATACATGTTTAGTTTACACCTTAATCAGTATTTGTTACATTTTTCGTTTGTAATCAAGTAATTTGATTGTATATTTCTTAAGGAAATATACAAAACTTACAGGTAGTAATGAATGGTCTATCATTTTATGCTTTAAAAACATGATTAGTTTTCATGCTTTAATTTTTTGTCCCAAGTTTCTACTGTATGTTTTCATATTTTTGATTGTGGTTATATTTACATTGAAAAATATAAGGGGGTTTCAGAAGAAAAAAATCCATCAAATTATGATTTTTGTTAATTTACCCTCAATTTCCAATACATATATCCAAAATAAAAAATAACATGCAATTTAATCCTTATACGTATATTATAAAAAGTTTTACTATCATGCACATTCATTTTTTTTTTTGGTAGTTCATGCACATTCATTATTCGTGGGGAACTGATCTGCATATTTCGAAACGAAGATAAAAATGATAAAAAAAGTGGTGATCTGTGTAGAAAAAAATGAAAATATTTTGGAATCTATGTTAAAAATAAATATAGAAAACTCTTTTAGCGTTTATTATTATTTTTCTAAAAAATGGTTTAGTTTTAGTGTTTCCACTTTTTACTTTCAGTTTTAAAAGTTTTGTTTTGAGTTTTCACTCGCTAAGCTTCATAGCAAAGACATGTAATGTCCATGACTTCGAACAAATACGATGAACAAGAAGCCTATTCGACTCCTCATTATGCAGTACATTTTTTAATTATTTGGTGGCTCAGTTTTCTTTGATTATTCTTAAGTTTTTTTACTTAACTTTATATCAAAATCCTAGAAAAATAATTGATAACGACTGACAAAAGACTCATGATTCTAATCGGGTGAATTGATAATAACGAGTGGCGAATCTTAGATGCGGCTGACAATTTAGAAATAAAAATTAATATTTGTATTAATATGGTACGATATAGACTCAGAGATAGCTAAGTAAAATAACGTGTGGCATGTTGGAAGTAAAATGGACCTACGTACCTTTGAATCTAGAAGAGGTGGCGTATAATTGAAATCAATGGACACGAAGAAACTGAGGAATCTGGCTAGTCGCTTAATTGAACAGACACAGAGAGAGAGAGAGGCTGGCTTTGGCTGGTCATATAATTACAAGATCAGCCGTTTCTTCTATTATTATTGCATATATTTGTCATAATCCTATTCGTACGTTTGGAAATATAAAATAGTTTCTTATAAACACACGATATATGGTTTTGTGCAGAAAACAAAACAAAAGATATGTACCAAAAATACGGTCAGCTCAGCTGTCACATTGATTAGTATTTTTTCTATGGATGAGATTAATTTGGAATATGCTAATTCAATTTCTAAATGACCTGTTTTATTTTAGTTCTAATATAGGGTTATATACTATTATGCCCAATCCTTGTCATTTTGACCGACGAAAATAAAAACAAATTCCTGACTGTTACGATCGACTGGTGTATCAAATTTAAACAACTATTGCAGATAGACATATAACTATAAAAACACCAACATGAATATAACTATTTAGTTTAACCAAATAAAATGTTCAACTGAAATCTAGACTTCAGTACAATATAAGAAGTTTTCATATATATTACCAGCACTAGGCGACAGATGTAAAATAAATTGGGTTAACTAGAATAATGAGTGATGTCAATGCTACGATTAAGATCATACCATGTGGACATGGCAAACCTAATTTTAACAAATCAAAGACTAAGCTAATGAGATGGGTATATCCGTACATATCAAAATGGGTTATTTGTTCGCACATGCACATACATAACGGCTACGACATATGTTATTTCAGGGAGATCAAGATTTAGGGTTTAAAATGGTTTGCTAATAGATAAATTTGTGCGAGACACGGTAAATAATACAAGGCCCCAAGATGTAACTGGACAAGTTTAGTGGGACATTGAGCGGTTCCGGATAAGGTATAGAGGATGAGCTGATAAGAAGAAGTTAGGTTATATATAGACCGCTCGAGAGATCATAATGCATATATAGGATGAGAATGATAGCTGTCTTCTTTTTAAACTTATATTACGACCTCTCTCTATACTTCGTCGGTCCTATCCGTCAGTCAGTCATGTGCGCTCTCCCTGTCTTTAGCCATTAACTCTGAGAGCTTGGCTCTGCACCATTCAAGATCATGGCCCATTCTGATGCTCTGCACCTGATTCTGTTCCCATAATAATTCCATGTACCTACATATAATTTATTAGTATATAGTTACCGTATTATTATGAGAAGATTGGTCACACTGTTCATCAGGTAATTGAGATCTCGATACAAAAAGATTCGTAATCTTTATTGAGTTTGTCGTCCGCCGTTCCAAGTTAATTAATCATGTCTTTGTTGTCGTTTTTTTTCCAAACAACGCGTTTGTGTTAGCCAACGGAAAAAATATACAACTTATTTGACTCGATTTTATGTTATGGACGACCTAATTAATACAAAATTATTTGATTGTGATGCTTTTTATCCGTTCACATTAGACGATAATACGTTTTGCCTGCTTCGTATGACTTGAATCCACCTATCTAATTAACTAAGTTTTAAAACTATATTTCCCAAAAAATGATAAAAGATTTTGAGTTCTTAACGCCAAGGATAATGAAGAACAAACATGAACATGCTTAGTGACAAACTTTTTAATCGACCTTCTCGCTAGGTAAATGCCACAAAATCAAATAAAAGTTGGTGAGAGTGATATTTAACCATGTTAGATGTTACGTGTATCCAAGAAAATAATCACAGATATATTTTGGTACAACTCTCCTCATCGTTCAATTTTAAAACTCTTAAATATGTTCTATGGAGATGAGGTTATCAAAGATATTTAAGTTCAAAAGAAGAAGAAACGTGTAACTTCTCAAGTTTAATATGGGGGAGGTTTGGATCCGTGGAACCTAAAAGCAGCAAGGATCAGGACAATGGTCCAACGCATGACACGTGATGCTCTTTCGCTTATTCCACCACATGTTTCTCAGCTTCGATAGCAACCCGTTTACTATATTTTATCACTTTCATGTTCTACCCCAAGAAAGAACAAAAAAGATGAGAGTCCGATATATGTATGAGTCCCAATCTAAAATCAACTTCAATACTTCATGATCATCTTCTCTATATAGCCGCCCGCGACTTAAACCTCGAATATTTTGTTTGTGTTTGCGTTTGTTTTTTATGTTCTAAATATCTTACGTGATTAGCTAGTTTTTGTGTGATACTCTGGAGAGGATCGGCATATCAATTTACATATGCATACGTGTGTATGTCAATCTAATAAAACAATGCAATTCGAATGACTTGCTAACCATAAACGTAAAAACTAAAAAGCAACGCAAATGAACCACCGATTAATTATACCACAGTTTTCACTGTTTTTTCCTCCACATTAGAAAAAAAAAGAGAATAAAAACAAAAAAACACCATCATTCATCTGCTATAATCCATAAAATCCGACCAAATAACCCATCATAAATTTCTATTTGCCTTACGTTTTTATCCATCCATTGGTTTCTTTATTTATTTTGTTATTTTAGCTTTAAAATTTTGTAAAACGTTTATGAAAACCATATCCTTACTAATTAATGTCCTGCTAACCCATGGATCCATCTTTTTTTAAGTGAATGTATCTATTTTGGTAATTAAAACCAATACATAAGGAATCTAAAATATTATTTTCTTACAAAGTTATCCTCATCTTATTTTATTTTTCTTTAGTTATGTTATCTCATATTAAATTCGATCTGATCTTAAATTATTTTTTTTGAATTTTTATTATTTACTCTTCATATATCACAAATTTATTACATTTTTTTGGTTAGTTTCCTTTCCCTTTTATGTTTTGGAGATTTTTTTTTATGGTTAGTAGATTTTGTTTTGTTTTTATTTTCTTTAATAAAGAAGATATTCTTTTTGTTGCTTTACAGATTCTCTTAAGTAATAATTTATGCGGTAAATTAGTAAATTACAAATTTCCAGTCCATAATCTTTGATTATTATATAAAGTTACACACAAAGGACGTTAGTAAAAAAAAAAAGAAAGGCACGTTTCGAAAAGAACCAAAAAAGGTAACTTAAATAACAATAAACACAAATTTCGCAAATTCCCGAAAAAAGCCCTAACCCTAAACAACCTTTACTTATATACATATATATATTACCCCTTCGCCCCTGAGCTCATCATCATAATCACATTACACATTACATTCTTCTCCTAAGAAAAAAAAATATCAAATTCTCTCCTTTTTATCACCTCCTCCTCTGCTTCAGCACCACCACCAATAAGCATCCTTCTTTCTTCCGTGCTCTTCATCTATCGATCTCCTCCGTTTTAATTTTAATCTCTTGTGTGAATCGTTTGTGAATGGTGGAACCTAATCCGATCGGTGGTAAGTTTACGCTCTCCCTTTCCATCAAAAGGGCGAGCTTTTTCCTTCCTCTGTCCGCTTCCTCTGTTTTCGCTTTCGGATCTTGCAAAGAAGGCTGGTACTTTCGCTGCCTCGGCGTCGACCCGTGAACGATTCTCCCCTAGATTTCACAACCCAGATCCCTGATCTCATCAAAAAAAGGGTTCTTTGATTTGGTTCTGTTACTTTCTGGGATTTGCTCTGTTTTTTTCGTTTACCTCTGTTTTTTGAAACCGATTCCGAAGATGTTGCTCTACAACAAGCAGAAGAAGAACCAAAACGCTAAAGGGAATAGGATTCTCATTAGCGTTACGGTTTTGGGTAGTGCTGGTCCGATCCGGTTTGTGGCGTATGAGGAAGATCTCGTCGCCTCTGTTATCGATACTGCTCTTAAAAATTACGCTCGTGAAGGTCGTCTTCCACTTCTTGGATCCGATTTTAATGACTTTCTTCTCTATTGTCCTATGGTTGGACCTGAAGGTACTTAATTCGATTTATCAATTCCATTGTTGCCTTTATGTGTTGAGTGGTCTATTTGGAGAATTTGGTTTACTGATTTCGTTTTTTTATGACAGCTTTAAACACATGGAATGCAATTGGATCGCTTGGAGCAAGGAACTTTATGCTCTGTAGGAAACCAGATGAGAAGAAGGTTGAGGAAGCTAATAACTCTACCATTAATGGAGCAAGAAAAGGTGGAAGCTTGAAGGCTTGGCTCAACAAATCCTTCAACCTCAAAGTCTCTAGTCATTAAGACTATTGTTCTTTCTCAAATATGAAAACAAAATCACCAATCTTTGTTTATCCTTATGTTTTGTTTTTTTGGTTTTGCTTTATGATTTTGATTATAAACTCTGTCAAAGGCTTTTTTTTTTTTTTTCCGTTTTCATATCTCTCAATTCATCGGAAATAAAAGTGTCACATTCTTATGAGTTCTAAGAAATTTGCTGTGTTTCAAGTGTTGAAGTTGGTTTGATTAGTTCCTTGTTCCACCTTCCTTGCAAGTTGTGCAACTGAGAAACTTGCATACGCGAATTGTGGACTTTGTTAGTACAACCAACAATTCTGTATTATTTGTTTCGAGAAACACGTTTTTAAGTTTATTGTCAAGCAATAACAGAGCTGGTTATAGTCTGTGTCCGTGATGAGGAATATTGTTAAGGTATATACCTTTTTCCAAGGTTCTTTGTCGTAAAGTGTCAAGTGGGAGAGAGGAATAGTAGGATACGTCATTGTCGAATCCACAAAATATGAAAGGTTATAAATTTTGATTCGATTAAAAAAGGCAAAACAAACTTTGCGACAGAAGAAGAAAAAAAAAAGAAAGAAAGTACAAGTGAATGATACACACAAGAGTCAAGACACAACACAACTAAACTAACTACACAAGTTCCGTACCAACTTGTACTCTTGTTTTGCTAATTGCCTCTCTCACACACAGTCTTGCCGTGCTTCACTTCTCTTCCTTCACCTATCACGAAAACGACACGCTGTTTTAATCACATACTCCACGTCTCAACTCAACACCCACACTTATCTAACGCGCAGAGCCGTTTCTTTCTACACACTTCCCATCAGAATAAAACAACACCAACCATGCACATATTATACGATGATAACGATGAGATATTTTCTAAATGCCACGTGCATGTCACATCTCTCTTTTGTTTATAAGTTCGTAACGGATCGTGACAAGGTTTGAGTCATCATGGTAGATTGTTTAGTCCAACGCTCTTGGTTACACATAATCATCCTACAAGATTTACTCGAACGTAAACAAACAATATCTGTATTTTCTTCTTCAGATTGTAGCTGTTTTGTTTGTTAAAACATGTTTAGTTTTAGGCTTTTGGCATTTAGATTCTTGAAATTCCAGCTAAAGTCAGCTATGGCTCAAAGAAATAAGTTTGTAGTTTAGACTTACATTAGTTATGGGCTTTAAGAGTTAAGACTTCAATCCAATGATGTTAAACAAAGGTTCAACCCTTTACAAGTTTAATGGGCTGAATGACTAAACATACGGGCCTCTATTTAAACAAATTATGTATTTACTCAATTAATATATGAAATATTACTTGTGGAAAATAAAAAGACAGATGAACACAAATTGCAGCTCATGGTTTCACCCACAAAGGCAGGAACACACTTTTGGTCAATTCAGTTCGTTTTAGTTGAAGACCTGAAGAAGCTGAATGAAACTTAGATTCATTCAGTTCGAAAGACACAGTATATCACCTTTTACACTTTTTAGATTCTTTTGCTTTTTCAGACAGCTTCGTGACAACAAAAACAAAACAAAATCTATTTGCTTACAGTTGAAAAGGAATATTTTTTTTTTTAGTTTATGAACATACTTTGGAAAGTTAGAAAAGAATAAGGGGTTTGGAATGTAAATATCGTTCACTGATGATTCTACATTATGAAATGTTTACCAAAGTATTATATAATTTAACAGGGTTTATAAGAAACAATACACATTTAGCTTCAAACACCATGTCACCATAGAGATTCATATGGATTTCGAATTATTTATCTTGTAAAAATATTTTTAACTTGCGAGTAGAACAAACAATCTATATTTTTCATAGTATGGTTAAATCATCTTACTTAACTTATAGAGACTTATAATAGTATGTTTTATAGAAGCTTATTTATGCTAAAAACGTAAGATATATACATTTCTTAAAACTAAAGTTTTTTTTTAGTCTTAAACACAGATGTATCTGAAAATGCTCATAATTATTATCACGTTACGTTCCCTGATAATAAATTTTAATTAATTTGTAATACAATTATATTAGTAATAAATTGGTGGTAACGAACACATGAATGAATGGCTCAGCTACTTGGCCATTAATACCGTTGACCTTAAGATATGGATATTTATGTGTGTTTTGTTTGACTAATAGAGATGGACAACTTCTCCACCACCATATGCACCACTTTCCATTTTCTTTTACTATAAAAAAATTCTAAAAACCAGCCCACTTGAATGAATAATTTCTTTTTTTTTTTTCACTTGTTTGTGGAGTTATATATGAATCATTTAATAATATTTTAAGAATGAATAGTAAACTTACATATATGATATATGTATAAAGCTGAGCTACAGAACAAAATTGTGAGTCTGTGACCCTTAGATTTCTCCTGTCCTGGTAAAGAACTTGGCTTAAGAGAGGAGACACGATTTTATAGATATGCCTCCATCTGTTTTAGTTGAACTGCCAATACTGGTTTTCGTGTAAACACCGACGTACTAGTACTCTTTATCAATAAAAACCAAAAAAAGAAAAACACCGAGTTTGTTCATTATATAGCTCAATTTGGTATCTACATGTTTGGTGTACATGTTGGATTACATGAATCCATGTTTCATTGGAAATATTCAGGTAGTTTGGTAAAGGATCATGCATATGGTTTAATATGATGCACTTTAGCACGTCATATGTCCACAATAATGACTAATCCTTGATTCCAAAATACTTACACGATTTTGTCCGCTCAATAGAAACTTTTAATTTTTAATTAAATTTGTTAACAATTATCTACGTTACATGGAAACTCTTTTCGAAGTGCGTTTCCCGTTTCCGAAACGTTTCAGAAACAGAAACTATCGGAAACTCGGAAACTACCCATGGAAACACGATTCCTAAAAATTTTCATTTGGAAACTCGATGGAAACTCTCGTTTCCGTTTTTAGATTAAAAAAATATAAAATATAAGATATATATTGTGATTAAAAAAGAAAGATTGTATCTATCTCTAATAAAAAGATGTATAATTTCTATAAATATAAATTATGGTCCTAATCATATGTGGGATGTTGGAGGTGATCAACTTGATTCACTAAATGAGTTTAATTTTGAGAGACTTGAGTCTGAAGATCTTTCTCTAGACGAACCTGATTTAGAGGCTGTTTTATTTGATAAAAATGATAACGGCGATGCTGGTCCAAACATTTGAATTTGAGCGTTTTAGTATTATCTTTTAGAGTTTTGTTTAACTATTTAGTATTTATGTTTTCAAAAATTCTTTTTTTTTAGTATGGATTTTATATTTGGAATTTTAGTATATATATATATAATTATATATACATACGTTTCCAAAACGTTTCCATTCCTTAATTTTCAAAAATTGTCGTTTCCCGTTTCCGAAACGTTTCGTTTCCGCGTATGCGTTTCCGTTTCCATGCAACCTAGACAATTATAAACTGAGTCATGAAAATATCCAAAACTGCAAGGAGAATCAATATGAAAATCAAATCATTATTTGAAGATTGTAAAAACCATATGATCTTGTTGCCAAAAAAAAAGGATATTTCGATTTTGGAAAAAATTATCCAAAATATGGATTCTCGTGCAGTATTAATTATGCTAAGTATCTAAAAATCCAAAACACATGACGATTACGATATACAGTAAATAGGTGCTTAGTGGAAAACTTTTGCCATTGATTCACTTAATAATGAGAGAAGAGACTAACAAACACAAGAAAGATTTGATTTTAATGAGATTTAAACCATCCAAGAATATTTGTTCTAATCCCAATTAAACCAATCACAATATAGAATATCTATATTTACGGTGAAATAAAAAATAAAAATAAAAATAAAACCGACGTCTGAAAATTATTAGTAAAACAGAGGCTGAGGTATTTTAACCTACTTTAATTTCTAGATTTTTTGGGAAAAACGAATCAGTAATCCTTAAAAATTAAAATAAACAAAACCAAATCCCAAAAGGATTGGTTAATAATAATCTGTGTTTTTAACAAAACAATATCAATGGCAGTTTCGTAGTTAAGATTAAAAAATAAGGATATTGTTTTATCTCAACCCTATAGTCTCATATATATATAATTAACCCTTCTCTTCCCTCCGGTCAAATCTCGTCGTCTTGTTTGGTCTCTGTTTTTCACGCCGGAGAGAGAGAGAAGTAAAAAAGCGAGAAAAAGCTAGAAACTTTAGAGAACCCACTAATGGATCCGATCGAATCTGTCGAGTACAATGGCTTTGAGACCACCAACGGTAACACTCACGTCGACCATGGTTGGAAAAAGGTCGTGTACCCGAAACGCAACCGGAAGCAAAAGCCGGCGGATCAAGCCACGGCGAATGGTGGCAAAATTGTTCAGAATGGAGCTGTAGCTAACGGAGGAGACAACGTGTTCCGTTCCCTTGAGGAGCAAGCTGAGGATCGTCGACGACGGATCCTCGCGGCGAAGATGGCTGCTGTTGATTCGGATGATGATGGTGCTGTTAGATCTAAACGCCGATCTAATGGTTACGGCGATGATGGGTTTGATGATGGTAGTGATGATGAGATCGCGGCGAAGAATGAGAGTCTCAAGGTTGAGGAAGCTAAGAAGCGAAAGCCTAAGAAGGAGAAGAAGCCTAAAGTGTCTTTGCCTGAAGCTGCATCTAAGATCGATCCTTCAAATCTCGAAGCTTTCCTTGTTGAAGCAACGGTATGTGCATGGATTTTGACAATTGGGCTTCGATCTGTTTTGTGATTTACTTGAATTGTGATCTAAAGTTTCGATTTTTTGTGTTGCTTTGAATGTTTGGTTTATAGGAATCGTATGCGACTCAACCTGAGATTCAGCTAATGAGATTTGCTGATTACTTTGGGAGAGCACTCTCTGGAGTTTCATCTGTGCAGTTTCCATGGGTGAAAATGTTCAAGGAGTCTCCTTTGTCTAAGCTGATTGATGTGAGTTATATAATTGACATTGTTGAGAGTTTTGAATCGAAGCCTAGTCTAGATTTAGGTTTGATAAATCTGAGATCTTTCAATTTTTGTCAATAGGTTCCGTTAGTTCATATTCCGGAACCAGTGTACAAAACATCAGTTGATTGGATCAACCAACGTCCAATTGAGGCTCTCGGAGCTTTTGTGTTGTGGGCGTTTGATTGTATTCTCACAGATTTGGCAGCTCAACAAGGTGGTGCCAAAGGTG